CTCGTCCCATCCCGCCCCGCAGCACCGGGCGGGCGAAGGCACCCGCCTCCCCAGGGCACCCACCTCCAGGGGCACTCACCTCCAGGGGCACCTTCCCGCACCCCACGGGTCTTCCTGCAGGGCAAACCCAGGCGGTGGCTCTTGGGGAGCCACCGGGACGTGGCTTTCAGGACAGAAGACATGGCCGGGAAGGGGAGTTTTGGTCTCACCTCTTTGCCGTCAGGTAGAGGTCCGATGGTGGGTATTTTTCTGGCAATTCTTCTGTTGCTTGTTCTCTTTTTTTCCAACTGGAACCTCTTTGCTCGTTGACGTGAGACTCCTGCAGTGCTGCTGCCCCGGGGGACTTTCTAGCTGCACTCTCTTCATCTGCATGGCGTTTAACTTTCTAGACGGTGCGTGTGTTGAAAAACAAAGAAATGAACAAAAACCCGCTTGTTTTGGACATAAAAAAAAGGGAAAAAAAAAAGAAAAAAAAAAAAGGAAATGTTTTCTCCATGTAAATTCTGAGCGTGTATTTTGCCTTTTCTGTGGTTTTGAATGCTTTGCTCTCTGTCGAGGCAGGGACGGCTGCTGCGCGAAACGCAGCCACATCCTTGCAGACTGCAAAAATATTTTCCCACTGGATGGAGTGGTAGAAATCCAAACTGTTGGGGCATGAACAGGCCCCAAGAGGTGTTTTGGTGTGTCCTGCTGTGCCGGCGGTGCAGTGGTTGCTTGCTGGCAATGTGTGTAGGAGATGCCTTTTTGGGGGCAAATCACACAGGTTCTCCATGGGTGCAAATGTGTGTCCCCATGTCCTTGGTAGACCTGTGCTGTTTGACCATGGAGCTGCATTGGCTTGCAAGAAATGGGCCCAAAGCAGGGAAATCCATGCAGGGAGAGAATTAGCTTTTAAGGCAGTGTTTGGGTGTTTTTACAGATCTGTTTTTCTTCCTGTAGTCACGTAGTGCTGAAGTTTTTTTCATTTTTTAAAGGAAGGACTCAGCTCTTTCACAGTTCTCTCTCTCCCTCTCCAGAGCTGGCTCTGAAGCCAGCCGTGGTGAGTGTCTCATCCACCTCCTGATGCTCAGGCTCTCTGGGTGTTAGGAGTATTTTTGGAGATCGATATGAGATGGATGAGGAAGGAGGAGGTCATGGCAGGGCTCTGCATGGGGGCTGTAGCGCAGATGTGATTTCAGCCTGGTTTTGGAGCTGTCGGTAGCTGTGGACCTCAGGTGGGCTGTGAGGGCGAAGCTGCTCCAGCAGCTGCTGCTGGAGAAAGGTCTGGGACAGGGGGTGCAGTGGGGTTTGCCAGGGATGACGGATGAGATGCTGGGGTAGATACAATCTCTTTTCGCTGAGAGCCCACTTTGGGCAGTCGCTGCTAGGGAGGAACGTCTTGGTTTCCAGGGAGGCTTTGAGCTGTCTTCTTGGAGATGGTTTCTCCTCTTTGAGGCTTCCCTACTGTCATCTCTCCAAGGACAGGATCCTCTGGAGGCAGCTGGATGTCCTTGCAACATCTAAAATGCTCCTGATCCTTTCCAAGGGAAGCAGAGTCTGGGGTTTCAACTCCTTTCTAGTCTTCCAGTCAAGCTGAAGTCTGACCAAGGAAGGCCCAACTTCCCAACCTGCCCATGTTGGCAGCATTAAGCACCTGCACTTTAGGGGTCTGTTCTGCCTGGTTTCTCTTCCCCACGTCACCCTGCTTCTCCAGACCAGGTTCCTGTATCCCCAGAGCATCTCTGAGCAAGCACTGATAAACCACCGCCCTTTCTTTTAGTAGCCATGGTGAACAGCTTCTGTCTCTGTCTTCCTTCACATTTCCTGATTTCTCCTAAACTTGCAGGAAAACTAAAAAAAAAAAAATAAAAATCACCAACTGCCACCGTCCTTCTTTGGCTCACAGGGGACGCTGCCCTTACATCTCTACTTTTAAGCTGTTGGCACCATCCCTCACACATACTAACCAGCATCGCCCCAACAATCCCACCATAGTTCTGGGGATGACAAGGTCCAGGACATGTTCCCAATAAGCGGTATGGACAAGGCCACCTTGTTGGGATGGAGTTCACCACCACGGACCTCCTGTCCCCAGCAGGCTGGGGCATGTTTCATTTCCTAGCACAGACACAGCCCGACCCACCTGGTCACCTGGCCATCAGGGTCAAACCAAACTCAGAAGTCCTCCAAATTGATCATCTCTTCCATCTCTCATAGACCACAGGGGATATCCGAGTGGAAGCACTTGCTGTGGCAGCCTCAGGCTCCCAGCTCTGCGGGTGGGCTTGGGAATCTCCTGTTTTCCCTTCCTGGCTGCCAGGGTCCAGGTCCAGCTGCAACATCATCATTTCTCAGGTCTTGCTGGTGTAGCCATTCTGGAAGAAGAAGAGGCCACTCCTGAGCCTCTGCTCTTTGCTGGAGGAGTGGGCGCTCCTCTCCTTACCCCAGCCAGGCACGGCTGGGAAAGCTGTCTTTTCCCCCGGAGTAAATGCCCCATCTGCCAGGCACCAAACCCCCATCTGACCCCAAACCTGCCTCCCCTCCCTTTGTCCTCCATGAGTTGATGCCCCCATGGAGCCCCAGAGGTCAGAGCAGGCAGTGGCAGCCATCTGCCCCCACTCTGAGCTCCCAGTCTGCTCTGCAGCCCATGGCAGGATCACTGGGGAGGACCAGCAAACAGCAGTGCGCTGTTTGAGAGGGCAGCCACATAGCCCCGTGGACCAAGAGGTGTCTGTCAGCAGAAGATCCCATAACCATCTCCTCTGATCATCCCAGGAGCCAAGCTAACCCTTCTTCCCCACCGCAGGACACATCTCATTGTGTACACCACTCTCTTGATGCAACCACCATCCTCCTGATAACGGGGTAGAGACCTCACCGTTACCCGTTTCCAAAGGGTCCAGTTCAAATGTCCCAGCTCATCCATACCAGACAGGGAAACCCAGACGTGAACAGGCTGTGGGAACATCAGAGGAGGGGCTGGTGGCCCCTCTGGCATCCGTCCCCAAAAGGCCACCCAGCGGCTCCCTGCCCCTCGGCTGAATGTCCTTCCCACCCGCAGGTCGACAGGGAGTGGGAGAGGGGGTGGTGGAGGGGGCTATATCGAGCGGCTCCTTCCTTCTTTGAGTTGTTGTCCCTTTTTTCTAACTGTTGCACAATTTTAGGGCTTTTGTAACATTTTTTTGGACAAGCAGGGAAAATATGTTAACAGTGGTTTAAGAAAAAAAAATGAGATCTCTCTCTTATATATTATATATATAAAAAATATATCTATACATACAGGAAATCTCTATGGAAATATTTATTTAAGATGGTTGCAAAAAATATATTATAATTAAGAGTATACCAAGCTTTGTCAGGTAACAAAAAATCAGGCCCCAGGGAGGGGTAGCTGCCTGTCCCCTCGTGTCTGTCAGTCCGTACGGTTGCAGCTGAAGCCTTTCTCTTATCTTTTTGTAAGTGCACTCGAGCTGTCGAGCAGTGTGACCGTGTTGGATTCAGCGGGAGCTTGATGTGGGGGGAGGGATTGATTTCGTTTCCTTTTCCTTTGTTTTTTTGGAACCT